ACTACCGTTGGACAGTGTAAAATAAAAACTTCGATCTCAGCCGAAACAGAGCAGAGATGCATTAGCTGTGAGAGGCGAACTGTCCTTAACCTCACTAGAGCGCGCTACCTCTACCCCGGATCATGGCAGCACCGCTCCGTGCTCATCGTGATCTGCGTCTTTCTTCACGTGAGGTCGTCCTTCGGTCCCCTGACCTCCCCCCCCACCAAGGTCCTTCTTCTGCAGTCAGCTTTCTCTACTTAGCTATGCACATTGGTGTACTTATATCTCCGTGTAGCAGCTCCTTTTTTCGTAACTGTTACCAACAATATTCAGTTACAGGGTGTCCCGTAACAAGAGGGATATTTTTCTAAGACTCTTAAAAGACCTCAAGGCTTACAAAAAAGTTCATATAAACAATGAGTCCATTTTCAGTAGGAAAGTAGGAAATCCAAGTTTTGCGCGTTATTAATTAATTAATCTACTTAATTTGTGTTTTTTCCTGAATAGGAAGTGATAACTAAAGAAATATTTAAAGGAAGGAGATGGTCCGGGTTAACGATCATAAATAGGCTAAATATTGGTAAAACTATTTTATTAAAATCCAGCGTTGCCAACGTTAAGTCTATTATTTCATATTATATCCTTTTTCCTTTCTTTTCAATCTCTCCTGTAGATCTGTTGAAGTATATTCACATTTACATCTATTATATATTACACTACAACAATTGTTAGCATCTATTTACTTCAGTTTAGGATCTTGTTACTTAGCTTACTCTGTTCATGTTTTGAAGTACTTACTGTTTATAATTTTAATAAGCTTATTCACATTGTTTATAATTTTTGTCTAAATATTATTTAACTTCCACAATTCTCTATATCTTTTTGTATCTTGTCTGTTCTAGCTCTGAAGAAGACCTGCAAAGTCGGGTCGAAACGTTGGCTTTTAATGAAATAGTTTTGCCACGATTTAGCCTATTTATGACCGCCACCCCGGACCATCTCCTTCCTTTATAATGCAACGGTCAACTATTAAATATTCAATAAAGAAATATTTAACTTAAATAATTAACTATTGCTTCACTATAAACTAGACAAAATTTACTTTAAATGTAAATAGAAGCTGTCATTATTAAAACCATTCAAAGAGGTCTTTTAAGCGGCTAGTCCAAGTTCGATTAAAATTGAGTAAAAAGATGATTCGGGATGGCGTTTATAAAAAGACTAAAATAGTGAGAAAAAAAAAATTATTTCAAGCCAAAGTTTCGATTTGACTTTGTAGGTCTTTTTCAGGTCTAGAACGAACAATATACAAAAGGATATAGAAAACTATAGAAGTAACATGATATTCAGATAAACATTATAAACAATATTAATAAACTTTTTTTTTATCTTCAATTCTTCATCCGCACCTGTCATGGTAGTGACAATTAGCAGATTTGTTGTTAAGTAAAAAATGGCATGATAGGCATGACGAAGAATGGTGCCCAGCAACACCTCTTCCCTGGTCTGTTTACATCCTAAAATCAGGAAAGGAGATCTCTCATCCAGCTCATTCTCAATCGCCTCCTGATAAGGCATTATGTGCATTTTACAAGTCCATTGTGGTGTCCGTGTAGTTTAAGATGAAATCGGGAGTAGAGAGTACGTATGTGCTGGTCAATGGTTGGTTGTCTTAGGTCGGTATGTAATGTCTTGTTGTTGACGTACCAGCGAGCTGCAGTTATTAGTCTTAAAATTTTAGATTGAAAATATTGTAGTTTTTGTAAGTGAGTCTTTTTTGCTGAACCGTAAATCTGTGAGGTGTATGTCCAAATAGGTTTGAGCAGGTAAGTGTATGTATTTAGTTTTTGTCTAATTTTCAATTTTGATTTAGAAAACAGTGAGTATAGTATTTCCAGTCGCTTGTTCATAGTCTTTCTTTTCATTTTGACGTGAGGACCCCAGGTCATCCTTCTATAATAAACTCATTAAAATTCAAAGACCGTGTGAATTTTAATTTTAATACGTTTATTAACATTGTTTATAATTTCTATCTGAATATTATTTAACACCACATTTTTCTATATCCTTTTGTGTCTTATTCGTTCTAGTCCTGAAGAAGACCTGAAAAGTCGAGTCGAAACATTGGCTTGAAATAATTTTTTTTCTCTCACTATTTTAGTCTTTTTGTGACAGCCATCCTGGACCATCTGCTTACTGAATAATATACAACGGTCAACTACCTAGTTAACAATATTTAAAAAAAAAAAAATTTTAACTTTAATGATGATGACCTGATTTTTTGTTATAATCATCAAACTATACTACAAATATCCCCTCTCCCCAATTAATTGAAATGAAGTATATTAGGGAAAAAGTTGGGATTTACCTGAAGTTGTGTGAAAAAAACTATGTAATTTTTTATTCTGCCAAAAAAAAAATTACATTGTTTTCAGCAAAAGTTATTATGATTAATTTTTTCAAAGCTTTTATTTTTCGTTTTTTGATGATATAGGATGTTTAATAATAAGCATAATTATACAAATAAAATTTTTACTTATATAAAGAAAATAATTAAAAAATAATGTTTTTCAAATTGTTTTTGGATTTTTCAAGTAAAGTGTTATGAAACTTTATTACTCATATCTGTAGGACATGATCCGTGTTTCTAATTGGCAAAATTATATTTAAAATTTACGTGCCCACCAGTTTATATATGAGAAAACCAAATTCCTCAAACACAGTACGTTACGTGGGACTAATATTCGACAGAAGTATGACCTGGGGCCCAAGTCAAAATGAAAAGACAGACTTTAAAGAAAGCACTGAAAATACTTTACTCACTTTTTCAAAAATCGAAATTGAAATTTCGACAAAAACTAAATACACACTCTTACCTACTCAAAACCATCCGGACATAGGCCTCTCAGATTTACGGTTGGCCAAAAAAGACGCACTTACAAAAACTACAGCCATTTCAATCCAAAATTTCTCGCGAACGGAATTTAAACTCGTAGCTTTTTGAATTCGCACTAACTCACTCACTCGACCACCGCGCTGCCCCCAATAAACATGAAATTTGAAAAAAAGTGTTTATATAAACTTTTTTGTAACTCTTTGTAGAGAAGTCTGCTTTCCCTCCCATAAAAATTTCCATCTTCTTACAGGACACACTGTATATACTAAAATATATCGATGAATCCCAATGATAATTTTAGGAATAGTTTGATGGATATAAGATAACATCGATTAGCTATGCGCTGACTTTATGAACTTGATTTATCTTTGATCGTGAATTACCATGCTAATAAATTTATTTTTTGGTAGATTTTTTTTTACAAGCGGAGGCTAAGAAAGTGGGGAGAGGTAACGAATTTCAATAAAACTTTTTTGATGAATATAGGTTGAAAAATATTTTACCCATGTCCGAGGATTCTTGTCGATGCACTGAGAAAAAAAATTATAAAATTTTATTATTTCTTGAAATTAGTTTTCTACGGAGTTGAGCTATGGAACTCCACTAAACCATCGAATTCCTCTCGTATCCAATCCTTAAAACCCAAAAACCTTCGTAAAATCCTTAATGCTCCCTACTTTGTTACAAATAAAACTATCCATAATGATCTTAATGTTTCTTATGTTCAGATCTGGCCCAATCCAGATATCTATCCTTTCATAATAAACTTCAGAATCATCCGAACCCTCTCGTTTCTAACCTTGCTTCCTCTTCGATCCCTGACAACCCTCCGAGGTGTCTGAAAAGATGATGGCCCCGTCATTTCTTAATGTAGACATATCATTAGAGTGCTACCATTGGGTAGTTACTCAACAAGTGTTTTCACGTCATTATATCCGTATGTTCAAATTTACTAAATGTATTTCTTTGATACAGTTGTAAATATCATTAAGAAATATAAAAGAAAAAGAAAAAAGAAATTAGCCTTCAGACTTTGCTTAGCCTGGACTTCCAATTTATTAAATACCAATCTATATTTTTTTTTTTGTGTGTGTAAATGAATAAAAAAGAATTATAAGGTATTAATAAATTACAAAAACGTAAATAAACTTCTATTAAAATAGGCTAAGTAAATTTTTATAATAAAGAAATTATACAGAATCGTTTTTAGCGTCAACTAAAACTCTTAAATACGTGTAATAATAAAATTTATAAAATATTTGTTACTCGAATCCAAGGGCGAAATTGGCATATATCTCTCGGACATGGGTATAGTATTTTTCGACCTCCTATCACCAAAATAAGCTTTATTGAAATAAGTAACTCCATTTCTTCCCCTTGTTACTGGTTAAACATTGATTCAGATATGTAAGGATAAGAATGAAGGCTTACATCAGGACTGAATGACAACGATCAATTAGTAAATAGATATATTTTATTTTATATGGAGTATTACACTAATTCATAAAATATTTATTTATAATTACTTTTTACAAATATTACATCATTATAGATTAAGGTGATGTTATTAGTTACAAAATGAAATGAACAGAAATGTCGTTATGCAAGGGATAGGTGAGGGCTCTCCCCCCCTTTCTGCATATATATATATATGTATGTAATGACGTCCCTGCTCATTAATATTAATTATATCAACGAAACCATGCTGTAATTTTACATTATTACTAATTGTAAAAATCTAACGTTTAAAAAAAAAAAAAGCGCTCTTTTAGCAGACAAGTCTGTTTTTTCTGAAGCGTTTGTCATTTGTCAATATTAAGCGTAAATTAAAAACATCAATTAATAATTTGTATGTACAACTAATAGTAATATTGTATGGCATGCGCAAATTTATTTACACTTACTTTAAAATACAGTAAAACTTCAATTATCCATCAGAATACATTATTCAGAATCGGGTAAAAAAAAAAATATTCTAAATACCATTAGAAAAAGTCATACAAAAATACATACAAAAAATACTGTTTTTATCGATTGATTCTGATTTTATTATATACATAAATAAAATACCTTTTCTGGGGGATGTATTCATTTTTTTGAGCTAGGAGAAGATAATCTTCAGAATAATGGCTCATTATTGGATTGTTAAAAAAAAAAATAAAATAAAAAAATAAAAAAAACTTATTTGAGAAATAACGATGCTTGTTTTTGACAGAGACTTAAATTGTCCCCGAAATTGATTTACAGGTGTTTTAGAAAATTCAACGAATTATAATTAACTATTATATAAACTTAGTCCTATAATTAAAAAAAAATCAAATAACATAATTTCTAACTGTTTTTTCTATCATATATATACTCTGAGGAAATATTCTAAGGAAAAAAAAAAAAAAAGTGAGTTATAAATTTTTAACGCCTTATAAGTGAGTCAAAAACGCGAAATTTTAAAGAAGTTAAAAAAAAAGTCTTCGTAAAAAGGAATCAACTTTGAAATTACTTAATAATTTTCTCACATTAAGACTTTTAAAAAAGTTATTCCAAGATTTTTAAAAAATGTTTTCTTATGTCATAAACATGGAGGAGAAAGACCAATAAAGATCAGCAGAAACTGCTCAATCAATATCTAATGATATGAAGGCAAGGATGTTAAGATGGGCGGGCAAGTAACTTGAAGCAGTCAATTGCAGCCCCTACATGACCTCAATAATAGGCCATAGACCACGTACAACGCCAAGAATCAAATGGATAGATCGAAACAACAAAGATGCAACAGAGCTACGTGCAGATAAATGGAAATAAATATCCCAAGATCGACATGGTATGTAATGCAAACAGAAAAAAAAAATGTACCAAAATATAATGAATATATCATAAAATTATTCTTTGTTTTACCATTAGTTTTATTATTTTCCGTGAATGTATTGCTTTGAAATATTAAGAATATGATTTAAAATATTCATTTTTTTTTGGGGGGGGAGAGGAGGGAGGAGGAGTGTTACTATATCGAAGTTTAACGTAAACTGATGGTTAAACCGGCGACGATTAATCAAAGTTTTACTGTAATCCATTTACAAAATTATATTAAAAAAATATTTTCGATTAAATACAAACATGCCTAATACGCGAATATTAATATTTTGCCCTTTGCTAAACTCTGCGCTGAGTTCATTCTTGGCATAGTTTAGCCACTTTAGAGATGGTTACAATGTTACCGATTACTTCAGCGCTGAATTTAGGAACTTACCCTCCGTTACATCTTTATGCAGTAACTGCTTAATTAATATAATCTAACAAAGCCGTTTTTTAAAGCATGTCTTTATAAAATCTTATGAAATACATTTTCTAATATAAAATATGTTTATCGAGTCTTCAATACTGGAAGATGTGGTGGTCGATTCGATCGCTGTTCAGATGTAACCTCTGTCAACGAAATCCAAAACGAGTTCGCGCAGTCTTTCGAAGTATCTCGGACTTAAGATTTCTCTTGCGCTCTCGAGGAATTCATCACTGGAAAACGATTCAACCTGTGAACAGAAAATTTAAATAGTTTAGATGAGAATAGTTATTTATTTATTTTTTTTGGAAATTTCTTTATTGAGATATATTACAATCTGTCACACTAAAGGACAATAGTAATAGTGATATAGAGTAGCTCATTCATACTATGCACAATAAATAAAAATAATAAACAGTAATATAATAATACTGAAGTAAATGCAAATAAACTAAAAGATACTAAACTAAACAAAATAAACTGATCTAACGAAATAAATATTTAAATACACACATGCTTTTATACAATATTTTCAATATTCATTCAGTTAAGATCTCCGAGCCAAGCCTTTCTCCACACTCGTGGAGGGAAAGGCAGGACTCTAGGAAATCCCATCGTCTTTCACTCAGCCGAATCACTGGTATTACCTATGGAGGCTGAGCAGAGGCACTATAACCATACATACATGGCTTCAGTGGAGAATCTGGCCATTGCCAGAACTCCAATATATTCTTACAACAGATCTCTTGGCCACTGGGGATGGTTGGTACTGGATAGGGATTGTGCAATTGGATTTAGATGATATGTAATGTCTTTATGGAATTTGGAAAATTTTTAAGGAATAAGTTCTAGAACAAATGGAATATTAAGGTCATGGTGTAGGGTTTTGTTGGTTACGTAGAACGGAGCATCGACTATTGTTCGGAGGACTTTGTACTAAAAGGATTGGATGCCTTTGATGTTAGAAAATTTCGCTATCCTCCAAAGTTCAAGTCAATAGGTCCAAATACGTTTCAGTATGGTCTTGTAGATGAGTAATTTGTTGTCAATTGAAAGTTTAGATTTTCTATTCAGTAATCTGGCCATATCGTCGGTTGAGTTCTTGTCTTTTGGGTCTAGTATGTGGGTTTCATGTCAGTCTTCGGTATAAGAGAAAGCCAAGATACCGGACTGTGTCTGAGAATAGTAAAAAAAAAAAAGTCTGCGACATATAACATTATCCATAAAATTAAATGTCTTTATAATCGAACAATAGTGTTATATATTTTCATGGAAATAAAGTATAAGATTAGTGGCTAGAGTGAACAAGACATACGTGGAACCATTTTAAAGTAAATAACTAAAGAATACATCGAAAATAAGCTCTCTTTAGGCTTGTGTTGTAAGTTACAGAACTATCGATAATTTTTGTCGATACTATCGAACTATCGATAGTGTAAAATTATCCACTATCGCCTATCCCTATTCTAGAATTACGGGACGCCCTGCATATGCAGTAGAATGAGGAAACGAAAGAAACTATCTTTGGCGTGGATTGATGAGCGTTGACTTATTGAGTCTTTTTAGGTTACAAAATACAACACTAATTTATCGGTCAGTCACATTTTATTGAGGAAGAAACAAGCCGTAAGATGTATTAGCATTAGCGCGAGACCTTATCTTCTTTTCTAAATCCTCATACATTAGGCAAATGTAATTCGAGATACTCTTCTCCTTCGCCAATCTCTTGTAAGTTGAGGTTTTATTGTACGCAAGCGTTGCGACAGATCGCAGTTCTCAAGGAAGCAAACGGCCCTCTTGTATAAATTGATAACCGAAACAGAGAAAGTCGCATTCTTTTCCAATGTACTAATTTTTATTTAATATTTTAAAACTAGATTGGATCGTTGTGTATAGTAGAAATTGTTTTCTTAAATCGAAATACGCCGATTAAGTTTAAATAAATAAATCTCATATTGCAAAAGGTCAATCCATTTGAATCGGGGAGTGCAGAAATCACTTTAGTAAAAAAAAATGCAAAAAAATAGTTTTCGATGAAAAGAAGCATAGAAAGAATAGATGCGTGTTGAGTTTAAGAACCACGTTAATCTGTTGAGTGGTTCCGTAAATACATGTCGTGTTTTTTCACAGAAATAACATGAGCCGGTGACTGACGTGGTATCTGCACCCACGGCCGGATCTACGGGGGGCTTTCGGGCTGAAGCCCCCTCCCCCCAAAAACGGTAAAATATAACCATGTTTTATCGAAAAAAAATATTAAAAAAGTATCTCTTAAAGTATTATTGTTCGTGTGATTAATATTAAAAGAGCTTTAGGAATCACTTAAACACCATTTGATACAGGTAGTTAGTTTCTTTCTTTTTTTCTAAAGCAATTATCGTTATTTTTATGAAAAAAAAAGCTTTCGGGCTGAAGCCCTCCCCCCAAAATTAAATCCTGGATCCGCTAGTGTCTGCACCCACCTTTGGATCTCATGACCAACAGAGATGGGCATATTTATATTCAAAATATTAATACGAATACCATTTATATTTATGGTGCTTATGAATATAGATATAATTATATTTATAATGATGTAGAGATGGTTGACCGTGATATAATATGAGAAGGAGTTGATCTGGAGGTGAGGTCAAATGAATACTAAATTATAGATATAGTATTATTTAATTATTATACCGACGTTTCGACCCACCTTGCAGGTCTTCATCAGGGCTACAAAAGATACAAAATATAAAAGGTACATGGTGAAAATAAAATAAATGAATAATAAGTAGATATTAAATAAGAAAAAGTTGTCTGATAAAGAGATAATAAGATGATATCAGAGATATAGTGGGTGGCAATGTAGTTAGAATATCAAGTATTATATATATACAAGATACAAACAAAAATAGAAAATAAGAAAATTAAATAATACTATTTCTATAATTTAGTATTTATTTGACCGCATCCTCCGATCAACTCCTTCTCATATTATATCAACGGTCTATCTTATTATATCTCTACATCATTATGAAGTAATTAATCATTAATCGTTTAAAACAAAATGAAATTTACTTTAAACGAAAACAGAGCTTTTCCTTATTAAAACCATTTAAAGAGGACATTAAATTATTCATCATTTTCATTTATCACCATCTAACTACACTAAAGTTTCCTCTCTTTTAGAAAAACTTCTTCGTTCAAAAGGCTTTAGGTTAAGGTTTATTAGAGAAACATTTGAAATTAAGCTCAAGTTTTGTAAAAAAAAATATGATATTTTTATCCTATCAACAATTAAAACTATCCTGTCTACCTTGTGTTTTTTCACCCAAATCTCTATTTTAGGAATTGATTCGTATTTAAAAGTGGCAACCATAATGTTCCTGCTCCTAATATTAACGTTTTAATTAAAACAATTGAAGCATTCACCAGTTTTTTTTTTTATTTTAACCATAAATTTTAGGACTAAAAACTATATTTTATCACTCTCAAATACAGATCAATTCATAAAATAGACCAATTTAGATTGATGTCTCTGATCATATGCGTTTTTGTGTTCACCGTATTTGTTATGGTTCTACGCTAAACTCACTGTAATAAACGATACTCTTATTGCTATAGGGTCACTCCATTTGAAATCACCTTATCTGAACTATCCATAGTCGATATTACAGAAATATCGATATATTCCTTGCGATATTCAATATTTTACCATAGATAGTATCTACTTCAATATTATCGACTATTGACATGGATATTTTAATTTACAAATTAATATTAAAACTATCGTTCATACCATACTGAAACGACAAGAAATCTCTCGACATTTCCGATTACTTTAGCACTTACTAGACAAACCCTCTAAACTTCCATTAAATTAATCACAAAAAACTCATATATATGACTATAATAAGGCCTATTTGGACTTACGGAGTTGGCTCCACTAAACCATCGAATTCCTTTCGTATCCAATCCTTACAATCCAAAACCCTTCGTAAAATCCTCAATGCTTCCTACTTTGTTACAAATAAAATCATCCATAACGACCTTAATGTTTCATATGTTTCAGATATGGCCCAATCCAGATACCTATCCTTCCATAATAAACTTCATAACCAACTCCTTACTTCCTCAATACTTCCTCTTCAATTCCTGATAAACCTCCGAGGCGTCTGAAAAGAAGATGGCCCCGTGATCTCCAAATGTAGACATATTATTTGAGTGCTACCATTGGGTAGTTTCTCAACATGTGTTTTCACGTCATTATATCCATTTGTTCAAATTGACTAAATGTATCTCCTTAATACAGTTAGTTATAAATATAATTAAGAATTAAACAAATAAAATAAGAAACTATCGTTTTTGTATAGTGCTAGGAATTATATATGAATCTGACGGTTAATATATATATACTCATCTTGTCCGTTTCATATAGAATGTAGTGCTTATTAAAGAAAAATATCGATATTTTGATAATATCGACTATTGATGGCCATCCTTAAGTAGAGTTGAATAGTTCAAGTAGAACCTTCTCAAACCAAGCTCACGAAACATCAATGGAATCTGATGTATGGATGGATGTAAATGAATTAGCATTTGACTGAATCCGATCTATTTATGAATGGGAGGCATAATTGGTTGAATGAAAATTTTTGGGGAAAAGCTGAGGATGACGAAGGTGGAAAGGAACTAGAAAATTAATTTTACCAAGGAAAGTAGAGTAATTAATATTTCCATTAATTAATTTGAAGAGAAAAATATCATATTTTTTGATGCTCCTATGTGCTAGAGATTCAATCCCGACATATACTATTACAGTAAAACTCGAAATCGGTTTTGTACCAAATATAACCTTCTGTCATGCTCAAATACCATAAATGGGGTACCGTTGGATTCAGAATTTCACGGGGGATTAGCGAATCGTATTTTGACGGGGGATTAGCGAATCGTATTCTCCACTTTTGTTTTTCTTTCTACAATAAATAAAGTCGATACAAACATTTCGCTAGGCTTTAATACTGGAACGGTGGTAGGTCTGTAGATCGATACGACTAATTGGACCTATAAGATTTTGATGGTACAGCAAGACCCGGATAGTTCCTTCGTTTTTAGTCCAAAAAACGTACTATTTCCGAGATAACGCAAGGCACAGGGTTCCCATCCACACAACCTTACGTTAATTGTAGTACTGCCATTGAATACATGTCTCATTTCGTCGACTTGAGGTCTCTATGATCGAGACAGGAGGAGTTTATATTATTTATCGAT